TGCATCAACCAGGGACTCAATAGAGACAGTTGCTTCCTTTCCCACTACCAGGGTTAATCCCCTGAGTCAACCCCACCACTCACTGTTCATTGCCAGAGACAGTACTTAAACACCCTGCTCAGCTGTTCTCCTTCAGTGCATCTGATGAAGTAGTTGTTGCTACAAAAGCTTATGCAGTATTTTACATTTAGTTGGTATATAAAGTGCTATTCCATATCCTCCACTGTTTGTTTTATAATGAAAGAGTATTGGCTCTCATTTCAATACAGAAATCTCTTTGTGGTTTCGATCAGTTGAGCCCCCTGATGCACATGAATAGCACGTTATGGAGAGCGCAAGACCTGGCAAAAATGCAAAACTATCAGTTAGACGAATAATGACCTGATGTGATGATGATGTCATCAGAAGACAAATCACGTGACATTTAAGGTGCACTATTCAAAGCACTATATCTCATGAAGTACATCTCCGATTGAGTTCAACCCTTGGAAATATCTTGAAAGTGGATTTTCAGACGAACACTGACCTCATGTGTTTATGACGTCATCACGTGACAAGTCACGTGACATTTAATGTTCACTCATTGGTTCAAAGCCTGTAGATCTCTTGAAAGGGAAGAGCTTAGACAACCATTGACCTGATGTGATAATGTGAAATGCGAAAAACCCTTTGCTCTGTTCTGAAGACAGAGAAATCCTCTAGTTTTTGTTTTTTTAATAGTAGGCCTATTTGGGTTTTTCTCCATTAACTCTAGTGTAAAAAGTAAGTAAGTTCCAATTTTGTCACCAGTTTGATCATATGAGCTGATGAAAAGTATATTAAATCAGTTCATTCAATCTTGCCGGCAATCGTTTGTGTCCGCACATGTTCATTACTGTGTCGGTTGACCGGGTCAGCAAGTCAGTAATACCAATCAGTGATACCATTCCTCCAAAACGACCTCTAACCCCTGAACCTCTAATTTGCTCGTCAAACTGAAAGGTTGAGGCAGATAGTTTAGGTTCTGGTCAGGTGACTTTCCCAAAAGTTAGAAATGGTTGCTCATACTGGCGAAAGCTAGGCTGACTTGTTAGGAACAAACGTAACGCAGATTATTTTATTTCGGAACAGAATATCACAATTTTGGACCAGGTAAGAGTAAATTTTAGGTTTAACATCTTAAGGATTAAGGGTTTATAAAGATTAAGGTCCAATGTTATTGTGTACTTCTGCACGTCGTCAAAGTTCCTTGTTTGGCTGCATTTGGGGCTTAACATAGCCAGCTTTAAATATATCCTCCTGCATGACAGTTGTGTATTTTTGCCCAGCGTTAAATCACTAAACACACACTTACACAAAACTTGACCCCGCGTTTCTGATATCGGCCCTGTTAGTTGTGGAAGGAAAAAATGTGTTGAGTGGCCAGTGTATCTCCAAAACCCTAGACGTTGAAATATTTGAAGCCTTTTGAGTTCTTTGAGTTCCTGTTTAGGTGTTTGATATGGACACCCGTGTGATCTTTTTCAATATTTAACTCATCAGATTGAAAAGATAACTGGTCATGTTCTCTTCATTTGTGGTTCTGCTGATGAATGCTTGCCCATCCCAGAGTACCTGGCAGAGGCCTTCAGAAGACGAGGAGTTTTTGGTAGAGAAAATTTTGAGACTATAATCTATAAAGGCGCCGGGCACATAATAGAGCCACCCTTTGCTCCAGTGTGTACACGTGCTTATGTCAATGTAATGGGTAAGTTTTGCGTTTTTATTATTGTAATGAGAGATAATTAATGTGATGTTCACTCATTTCAGGTTAATGCTCCAGAAGGTAGCTACAACTGCGAGGCAACAAATGCAAAAAATTCAAAACATGATTACATACAAGTGATATTTTGAACGTAAAGACCTTGCATTTTGATGTAAGAAACAACCTGCAGTATATCCAAGTGGGAGTTCTGGTAGACATTTGTCCTTTGCTATTAACAATACAACCCCCATGCAGATGGTGCTGGTATCATTCTCAAGTATTGATGACAATAACTGCCAACCTGTTCCATGGCTGGGATATGGCTAGCTACTGTGGTATGGCTAGTTACTGTGCACGTATGTTTCAGCGGGACATTTAGTTTGTGCGCATGCACGTCAAATGGTTTCGTGCCCGTGCGAACTGAAGATGGCTGCCCAGTGTTTGCGGTTTTGAGCTCCGAATTTTTCGGGTATCATCATTTCTGATTTGACTTTTTCGTGATTTCTTTGTAACTGACATGATTTCCAATTTAATTTATGGAAGTATAACTTGAAAACAACCAATATATATAGCCTTATTTTTGATCTGATCGGCGACGTACACCGCGAATGTATTTGATTACAAATGAAAAAATCTATAGTTTTTGAGGTGGAAAATGGATATTTCTCCAGTTTTCCCGAGCTTGCAAAAAAATGTATTTAGAAAAACAAAAGTAAGGCATGGAATGAATTACATATGGGCAAGAAGTTCTATTGAAGAACGGTAAGTTTTTATTTTACGCGTTTTCAACATCTACAGCGCCCTCCTTAAGTACCGAAAAATACCTTTCCTGTCATCAAATCCCCACAGCGGGATACCACGCCAAAGTTACGGGTGCCGCACAAAGATGCCCAGTAAGTCGATTCATCGGGGCAGCGTGGCCTGTGAGCAGCAAACTCTTGGTGGTATACTGTATTGTGAAACGACTGTATTGAAACATTTTAAAATTCATTTTGGCCTGACTATAAAAATGTATTTTTGCCTGACTATGGTTCGGCTACATTTATTCATTGTTCTCCATACCCAATGTAGAAAAAATTGTTTTGCTGATCTCAGTTTCTTGATCTTAATTGTGGCTCAGTCTGGCCATAATATCCTGTATAGCTGAAAAATCTATAGTTTGGTTTGGAGTTACAATAGTCTAAACCTCTTGTAATTCCAATTTTCTTTTAGCTCAGTGACAGGATGACCTTCATCAACAAGAATCTGTCATCAGGAATGTGAACTGAATTTCATGCTTATGTATTCAGAAGTGACTGGTCAATGCTCTTTCAAGGCTAGCTGTTTTTTCTTCGTCTCAGGCAGATCCTTTATCGAGGACAGATACAGACGGAACCAATTATTTTGGGGGAGGTCATTTTCAGGGGTTCAAACTTTTTTTAATTTCAACCTTGTATGGCCTTTAAGGGCGAAGACATGGGTCTTTTGCATGCTTGTTGAAGGAAGGGAAATAAGAACGAAACAAGAACATTAGAGGAATCTACTGGAAGAAAATATTGGAATAAAATGCTCGTCTTGTCCCTGACGCAACTGTCCAATTCCATCTTGGTCAACGACCTGCTATCTGGAGGACGCCTCGTGGTCGTGCCCGTCTCACTTGGCTTAAAGCAGGTTGCCGAGGCTGTGCAGCCGTCTCCACATGAGTGCTGGTCCCTTGCTCTTGACAGGAAGATCTGGAGGTCACAACGACCCTCTTGATGGTCATGTGCAGAATGATGATGATGATCTGTTTTTATTGTTCACGTAAATGTACATGTATATGACCTGAAAGTACATAATTGTATGGTCATGATTTTTTGGGGAGCATGATCAGAATTTTCAGTTCCAAAATTGTTACAGTGCAAAAGACATTTTTTTTTACCATTTTGGATATGAAGGTTGCAAACGGGAGGTAAAGTGTACCTCTGAATTTTATGTGTGTAGTCTCATTAATGGAAATTCTACAAAGACCTTGAAGAAAAAGAAACTCAAGATGAAAACGAAAATACGTAAAAGGCTAATAAGTTCACTCGGTGGTATTTATGAACCAGTCTCAAGGAATATGCCAAACAATACGTCTACCTGTGCTGATTCAGAGAAACAATATATCACGATGCTACCTGTTCAGTTTTGAACTCTGCAGTAATTCCATCATTTGGTCTAGGTCCTTTTTTTGCATGACTGTCAAGATTTTATTTTGTGCTAATGCAATGGGTCACTTTAGGAGAAACAAGGAGCACTCCACGTCAATGTCAAGATGGAGAGCTTGTCAAACATGGAGACCCTCAGCTCCACTTCAGGCATACTATTTGGAAGAAATATAAGCTCACTCATTATGTTTGATGTACAGGGTTATTTCTATTCACTAAAGGGTTCAGTTTTTTCCTGTCTAATCTGACATTAATTTGTAAGTTGGGTGAGGTCGATTTGGGCAACACTAGGAACATATTGTATCATCGATTGTCGGTGTCTGAACTCGGAACATTACGACCGGATAATCGCTCTAACAAATACATGTACTGGCATTCCGCCTCGACAGGGTGAATTTCCAACCCAGGGCCAAGGTAGCGTTCGTTGAATCCCTGGAAATCCGTCAGGCACCTGTACCAACACGACGTAGCCAGTGTCTTAGCAGTACCTAGTGGTGGCGTGTTTCGCGTAAACGCTTCTTATCTGGGGGGGTCTGGAAAATTACGATTTTTTCAAACGTCAGAGTTCTTGCCAGCTGCAAAAAAAAAAAAAAAAAAAACGTAACAGGGGCAGTATATCTGCCATGATTGTTTCACACAATTGTGGAACTTTACCCCTTCTTTTTACGACACAAGAAAGATATCACTTTCGTTGTCTGCTACTATAATTTGCGAGCTGCCGACACACTGACGGCTGATGCGCAGAAAATAAATGTCTGCCCGGCCTATGGCAGGGAAACATACGTGTGAGGCAAACAGTGGACAACACAGATTCAGTGGAAAGAGAATCCTCGAGGCTCAGTAAAAATGCAAAACATCACTGTCTCATGTTTGTCTTCCAACCAAATACCTTCAGATAAGATATTTTCATCTTTTTTCCTCTCTCTTTATTGACAAATAAGATATTGTGATGGCTCTTGGTGGCAGAGTGAAGGAACATGCCAAGGCACAGGAGGATGCATGGGACAAGATACTGAAATTCCTCAAAAAGCACATTGGTGTCAGCAGGGGAAGCCTCATACAGCCTGAGAAACAGACAGAATCCAAACACGAGCTGTCAAGATCCAAGCTGTGATGTAATTAGTGTATTTTGTACTTTTGTTCTTCGATCAAAATTGATCGGCATGCAATCAATTAATGTCACGCTAAGTGATGTTTATTTTTTTTCACAAGCTCGACAATGAAAATTGTTACACTTATACAAGTCAATGTTTGTGCTGGGAGATTTGCACTTGAGTATGATATATTCAAACCGTGTAGGCCTACATGTATGAGTTTCATTAGTCTGATTGTACACATACAATGCATCGTATCCTTTTGTGTATCACACCACATTAAAGAGTAGATAGATGTTAAAGTATCAATGTAAAAGTAATGTTTTTTCAACAAAATATAGTTATTTATGTATACTTCTTACAAATATACATGCAAATAAAGAAATCAATGCTTTTGAAGTGGTCTTAATTTGCAGAAATTCAAACGCAAAGCACATATTAAATGACATATTAGAATTATCCATTTGATTTAGCATATAAAGAGAGGCTTCAGGTATATACATGAAGAATACATAAAGGTAATATTAACTATTTATGCAGGAAACGACTGTGCTACAGAGGAGTCGCTTATTACAAGAATGACCACTTAAGTTTAACTTCAGAGTATTGGAACTTTTCAATTCCATCGCAATCAATTTCAATGAAAACTTGGCAATATTTGGCATTACCACCCTTTAGTACACGTAACATAAACAAAAATATGTACGTCACAAGAGTTCCAATAAGTTAATTAGTTTCCTATGGCTTAGCGAAATCTGTCAAGAAAACCGTAGCCCTGCCCACTGTGTAAAATGAAATAGTCCATGCCAGCCACTCAACTTTGCGCAAAGTTCCCGCTGAGGTGGGCTTTAACCAATCACAGCTTTTCTGTCGAACGCGTGTCGTTCTGAAGTGGTACTGTCGTGGTGTTGCGTCACCGAGTATTGTACATTCAGCCATGGGTTTTGTTCAAGAGCCTCCAAACTGTGAAAACAAAAAGATGGGCGTTCAAAGTAATGAAAGAGAACAAGTGACTAGTTGATTCTGTGTGTGAGTGTGAACAGAACTTAATTTGGTTGAGAAAAGTGGAGACATAGAATTGGATAACAGATTGCGGGTATTCTTGACCACTATCAAAAGAAACCAAGGCTTAACTTTTTAACTTCTTGGGTACTTTGACACTGGCGATGGGCCCCAATCTCCACTTTTAGCCATATTCAGGGTTAAGTTTGTCGAGGGCACGCCACTGTCTGTCCCGGTCGCAGCAGCCCTCACCCTCTCAAGACACTGCACAGAACTAAATGCATTTTTATTGTATTCATTCCCGTCATTACGATGGTATGTTTATATTCGCTGTAAAAATAGAAAAGACCACTCACATACGTTAACCCGTTTTCAAAAAAAAAACCTCAACAGTGGTAAAAAAAATGGGGAAAACAGTTCAATATTCTCACATGGTATCTAAGTAATAAGTTATACATGTATATGTACAGTGGCGCTTTAACCTCTAAATAAATAGTAATACTGCGATAAAAATATGGACCATTTCAGCGGATTTTGAAAAAAGTGTCTACGTTTGTACCATCGGTGGCGCCACGCAGAAATGCTTTTAAAATTGTGCACCACTGTTGAAACGAAAAACTTAAGGACCTCGCAGGACCTGGTTTCGTACAAAGGCCCGCATGCCTGAGCTGCACGGCCTAGCTTGATACTTTTTGGAATAAAATAGTAGAGGAAACATGCCGCCACTAAAACTCGCCCATCGCTCCACCGCGTCGCCGAGTCAACAAAGAACCCAGGCCCCAGGGTGCAGTCTCGGTATCGAGACCGAAAAACAAAGGAGAAAGAAATGAAAAAAAAAGAAAGAAAAACACGGCACTGTAAATGATAAACAAAAGGTTTATAGATTACCATAAAGAAAAAAGTTGCCAGACTTCAAAGTAAAACAAAACAAAACGATGAGCGCTTGCTGTTTACCGTGTTTAGAGAGGCGTAGATTTTTTAGCAACATGTGAATACGGTAAAGATGAATATAAGTACATACAGTGTAGACCTCTCTGTCCATACGGTACAACTAAAAAAAAAAGCTTGTTTCGAGTGCAATCGATATAAATCAGTTTGTAGCTTGTACATGCCAAGGCTATGCGAGCATGGGAAAAACAAATTAAACGTGAAAGAGTAAAACCGGAGTTACCCTGACTACGTTTAAAAATTAATGAAAAAGAGAAGACAAAAATGTCATAAAGTTAAAGTAAAGTGGCAAGACCCTCGTATGGAAACCCAAAACAATTTGTCGATCAACACCGTTACCTTTTACCGTTGACTCTTTTGAACTGGCTAGTGCATTTTTTTATTTGATACACGTCCACGCTCCAAATAGGATCGGTCGCTTTCCTGACAGTACCGCCTTCTTGTTCACCTGGGTAATACAAGTATCGAGCCAAATAGTCTGGAGGCAAATCTGGTTTTTATGACTGCTCCTTAGAGAAAGGACACAGGGCAGTCGGCGCCTGTTTTACTCGATCTTGCTTGATCGCTTCTAAAGGACTCGCGTCTATAAGCCGTGTCTTTTCTTGGTTCATTAACTGTTTAAACTCTCCCTTAAACTTGCTGGTCAAAGGTTCGGCTTCTTTAAATCGGAAAGCTACGTCTACTATCGTTAACGCCCATTTGAAAGTCAAAACGAGACGGCGACGGCGAACTCGATCGTGAGGTAAATACAACACGTCCATCTGCTACATATCGTTTGGCGAGACTCGCTCTTGAGCTAACGCCGTGAGCCTTGCTACCCGCGTAAGCACCGGCAAATATAACTGCCACACGGGCTGCCACGCTTAACCACGTTCTCACCGCTCTCTTGTCCACGCCAGTTTTTTTGTGCGAGTGCTCTACAGCGCTTTCACCTCTCCAGTACCCTTGAGGACTATAAAACAGGCGAGACAGTTCTTTGTCTTTGTTTATTTTGTTCTCCTTGTCTTTGTCTGTCTTGTTGAACTTGTTCTCCTTGTATTTGTCTATCTTGTTCAACCTGTTGTCCGTGTCTTTGTCTATTTGTTCATTGCTTTTCGTTGCTGTTCGTTGCTTTTTAATCTATACAAGTTTTAAACAAACCGATACGCGAGATACCCTATAATAGCAGTTCCTCCAAGAACCCACACAAGTTCTCTAACGCGTTGGTCTTCTGAAGGCACGTAAAACTCGCCAGGCTGCGGTTCTCGTGGTAAAGTAGACGACAAAATTTTTCTCTGTCAGTTCAGAGTACGCACGCAAAGCTCGGTCAACGTTAGCAAACGTGTGTTGGTTCACGCGACACGATTTTGTTCCCCAGACCTGTTTGGCTTGAGCCAGTTGTTCCAGAGCCAAGTCGTGTCTCTTTCGTTCTTCGTCAACGCGTTGTTGCGGCAGACTGCTAAACAAAAGGTTGAACCCTGCAAAAGCTAGCGCGTTAACTTTAGCTCCGCCTACCATCATTAAAACACTCGCCATGTTTAACCCTCCTTACTTTAAAAGCTTTTTAAAATTAAAGAAGCTTAAGAGTAAACAACAGTTAACAATATGAATCTTGTTTGTTACTGTTAAGCTTCTTTATTTGAAAGCTTTAAAAAAATAGCTTCAGTTTTAAAAACTGGGTATAAATTAAAACGTTATACTTCAAACGCTTTTTTAAAAGCTACACTTTTAAAGTTTTTAAAAACGGTATATATAAAAAACAGTATACTTTAAAAACAGTAAACATTATTATTCGATTGTCATACCGATAAGTATAACACAAGACAAATTCAGTGGACTTCATATATTGGTTTCTGGTAGGTTGGTACTGGCACCGTTTTATTTTCCGTTGTTCATCATTGATTTTTAAAATAATTATCTTAGGAATTTTAATAATTACTGCAAGGGTGATTACCGGAAGTTTGGTTAACTTTGAAATCAGAGGCATTACCTGTATTCATTCTTTTTGGAACCATTTGTCTCCAAAGACTGTTATCTTTTAGTTTCATATCCACATTTCTTTTAGTTTGAAAAAATATCTTCCAAAGAAGGTCGATTCTTGTCCTACTGCATCAGTAATTTTCCATTTATCTAAGCATTATCGGTAATGATGCCGTGTAATGATGGCTTAAAATATATTACAGCATAAACACCTTAAAATTGTCCATATCTTGCAATATTTGCGGAATCAGAGAAGGCAAATATCGCTCTATTTATTGATTCAAGTATCATACCCATATTTGTTTTAGCTATGAAAATATCTTCTAAAGAATGTCGATTCTTGTTCTACTGCTTCGGTAATTTTCCATGGATCTACGCATTATGGGTCTTGTTCCAGTGCAAAGATGGCTTCATATATTACAGCATAAAAGACCTGATAATTGTGCAAATTTTGCAATCCTGCTGGTATCTAAAAGGGCGAATGTATCTCTATCCGTTGATATACGTTTCCTATCTAATTTGTTTTATTTAGAAAAAGAATCTTCGAAAAAAGGTCGATTCTTGTCCTACTGCTTCCGTAATTTTCCATTTGTCTACAAATTATGAGTCCTTTTCCCGTGCAAAGATGGCTTCATGTATTACAGCATAAACGCTGAAAAATTGTCCATATCTTGCAAAACTTGTTGTATCTGAAAAGGAGAATGTTCCTTTATCCATTGAAAATAATTTTTATTTCCATATGTGTTTTAGTAAATAAAATATCTTTTAAAAAATGTCGATTCTTGTCCTACTGCTTCCGTAATTTTCCATTTATCTACGAATTAAAGTCCTGTTCCAGGGCAAAAATAGCTTCATGAATTACAGAATAAAAGGCCTGAAAAAAAGTCAAAATCTTGCAATCCTGGTGGCATCTCCAAGGCCGAATGTCACTCTACCCATTGACATAAGTTTCGTATCCATATTTGTTTTAAATAGAGAAATATATTTGAAAGAAGTTCGATTGTTGTCCCACTGCTTCCGTAAATTTCCATTTATCTACGCATTAGAGTCCTGATCCCGTGCAAAGATGGCTTCATATATTACAGCATGAAAGACCCAACAATTGTCCAAATCTTGCAATCCTTGCGGCATCTGAAAGGGCGAATGTCCCCTTTATTTGTTGATGTTAGTTTAATATCCATATTTGTTGTAGTTAGGGAAATATCTTCCAAAGAAGGTCAATGTTTTGTGCTTGAGCCTGTTGGTTTTTGCGTAATTTTCCATTAACCTACACATTAGCGGTGATGTTGCCGTGCAAAGATGGCTTCATATCTTACAGAATAAGTCCTTTGAGGACCATTTGGCTTCAAAGAATTTATAGTGCCATTGTGAACACTAGTCCACCTGCCATGCCTTTAATTTTGCCTATGTCTGTTCTTGTCATTCTTGTCTCGTGTACATGACCACCAACCTTTGACAAGCGTTTGTGACGAACTGGGGCTGGGGGTACCCAAGCAGATTCAAGAAAAAAAATTGGAATGGAGAGTACGTTGATTTTGGCGCTTTAGTTGTTAGTTACACAAGTTTTGATGACGCGTAGAGTTAGTCTTAAGTTTAGGCACCGCCGCCCTTATGGCCAAAGTGAATATCAAATCGGCTTTCCACTTATTACCGGATCACCCAGATGACTTTAACCTGTTAGAGTTCTTTTTTAATGGGGCTTATTACTATGACAAATGCATTTTC